CAGCGGCAGGGTTCAAACAAGCAGACTGGCTCCCGGGCCTTGGTGAACATAGAGGGTTAAAACCTAAAATGCCCATTTTCTCAATGATCCAGAAGATCCACTGCTGGGCCACTCTCCTGGAGAAACACTCATCTGTGATGTAAAGGACATACGCCCAGGGATGTTGGCAATGGGAAGAACTAAGAACAAGCTAAACTCCTGTCAGCAACACAAGGGACACATGTGTCCCAGCCTGTTCATCCACTATGGTAAAGTGCAGCAGTGAAAAAGACTGAATCCGGCTCTGTTAAGCCTGTTTATTTTTCCTTTTTAAATAGAGATAGCGTCTCACTATGTTGCCCAGGTTGGTCTCCAACTCCTGGACTCAAGCGATCCACCTGCCTCAGCCTCCCAAAGTGCTGGGATGACAGACGTGAGCCAGTGCTCCCGGTCAGGAAATATTTCTTGAAAGAAAGAGTGAGAGAGTACCTCGTGTGTCCCCAGTACCGAGCCTGGCACCGCACATGCGGAAAAGCTCCAGACAAGCTTCCTGCCTTTATGGAGCTCACAAAGTAGGCTGGGCTACTAGGCACTAAGACAACTCACTATCATACAGTAGTTACTCACCACTCCTTCACAAGAAAGGGTCACTCACCCCTACCACCAAACTTAGGAACGGCCACATGCTGTTCAAAGGGTCAACCCGGGTGCCTTTCATTGTCCTCAGATGATGGCGGGTGGGCACTCAGAGAAGACTGAAAGCTCAAGGCTGGGGCACTGGGCCAGCCGGGGCTTCCCAACAGGCCCCCACCCTGAGTCCCACACAAGAGCCCGTAATCACCCCTACAGGGAGAAACAAGCCAGGCCCAGCAGCCCTGGTAGGTATGGCTGGGCCCTCCCCCTGGTCCGTAAGAGGCCAGCCTATGCCATCCCCACTGAGACGGCCCCACTCGGGCCAAATTTGTAGGAAAGGGGCTGGGAATCTGTGCAGACCGGGGGAGATGGTTCTCATCATACAGGTGAGAGAGGATGCCAACCTGGGCTGGGGAGGGAGGAGAGTACACGTTGAGGGAAACTGATCAGATGGAAGGGGAGACGACAGACTGTAGGGCCATGGAAATGCGTGCCTCCAAGACAGAGATCGAAGGAGAGGGAAGCCATTCTGGGATTGGGGGGTGGATAGGCAGCGAGGTCGGCAGGGGGCAGGTTGGGTTGGAAGTACCTACAGGCCATCCAAGCTGACGTGACCGTACTGGTTTGAAACTCTGGAATTCAAGCAAAGAGATCTTTTCTTAACTTTAATTCTATGGCCCTTTTTGAATATAGACATCCTGGCCTGGTCACCTCTGAAGCTTCACCATCCCAGATGATGCCTAGTATGATTTTGAATACATGTCATCCATTCCAAAAAAGTCTTCTCTGATTCGGAAACACGAAGGCTATCACTGCCAGCACGTGTGGACCAGGACCGGCCCTCTGGAGACGAGGGGCTGTTACGGGCCCCGGTATGTTTTTTGTTTAAGCGCACGTGTGTTCTTCATGAGTACCTCCAAGGTGCAGAAGAGAAAAACACCTCGTTGTGTAACAGTGGCAAGATGCTGAGGAAGCAAACTATCAACAGCTCTCTGGAGGAAAAACTTTCGGGGTAGGATGAACTGTGTGTGTGGAATTTGGAAAGGATTGCTTTTTGGAAGCGGCTAAAAGCCACAGAGACGACCGGAGAGCCGTGTGGCCTTGTCCCGGTGGTGACTAGCGTGGGCGCCAAGGCTCGGTGACTTCAGGGACTTCCTCACAGCACCGTCCTCCTCATTGCCTCAAGTAAAGGTACCAATTAGAACAAGTTTCAGAGGAAAATTACAGCCTCCAGTGAACTGAACAGGCTAATTTAAACTTTGGCAAACTGGTTCGCTCCGGAGCTAATTAGAAATTTCCCTCAACAACAAGTCATGAATAACTTTCTTAATTGCTTTCTGCTAATGAATGTGATACATGTTCACTGTAAAAGAAGAGGAAATATGGGCAAGTTTGGAAGAGAAAATAAAACCCAACCGTTATCTCACCGACAAAGTTAAGGACAATGAAAATGTGATGTGTTTCTGGATAAGTGAGCTAATTCTTGTCTAGTGCTTACAACAGTGGCTGGAACATGGCAATGTTGATGACCAACAAATGTTATTGGTCATTACTGTTCTCATCGCTAGTAGGCTTAGAAGTCTTTTCCCTTCCAACAATCAAACAAAGTTCGTCTCAATTTTCTTCCAGCGTTTTTAGTTTTATTGTGTATGTCTTAGGTCAATACATTCTCAACACTTCAGATACTATAGAAATATTTCTGTATATACCATTCCCTCCCGTGCCGCTACTGAGATACGTAAGGGCAGCCTGAGAAGTCGGCATTCCTTTGTCCACTCCCATTTCTGTGCATTCGTTTCATTTCATTCACTCCACACCCAGCTGGACCTCAGAGTTGTCCTTCGCAGGGTGAGAGGCTAAGACATTTATCCAGTGACTTTTGGCTGCATCGGTGGGGGCACTGTGTCCAAGGGTACAGATTCCCCTGAGCTTCCAGGCACACCCTGTACAGAGCACAGGAAAAGAAGGAGATGTGCCGGGAGCTGCAGGAGGGGGCGCTGGCACAGGGCACAGAGGTGCCCACCCCAGCAGCTGAGAGCCAGAAGGCACGTGCAGGGGGGCCCAGAGGCTCGGCAGGATCTGAGATGTGAGAAGATGTCTGCAAACACAGAGGCGCAGGAAGAGGCTGGAGATGACGTTGACTGGAGGGGCTCCGAGAGGTGCACAGAAAACAGGACAGAGCTTGGTAGAAGCAGCACTCATTTGTCACCCTGCCACACACAGCCTGTGTTTTCTCCTTGACGGACCCATCTCAGTAAGACCCAATATTGCCAATGCCTGGAGACCCCCCTGGACAACTGTCCTCAGCCTCCACATCCAGTCCTCCCTAACACCTGGGGCTCGGACCTGCTAAGGAGCTCTTTGCTGTTTTCTAGACACCTCTGGAATCCCTTCACCCACCCCTCCCCGCCCGTGTGGCTGCTCTCCAGCGCGCTCTTGTCCTGCTCTCCCCAAGAACCTCGGCTCCAGGGGAACGAGGCTTTCCCTGGTCTGCTGCCTCCCCTGTTCCCTTCCCAGTCCCCAGAAGGGGGCCAACCCCAGCCACAGAGGCCCCCAGAGCAGAGCCTTGCCTGCCGCAGCAGCTCCAGCTGGAGGAGGTTCCCCCTACCTCCTGCACCGTGACCCCTTCTCCGGGCAGCAGAGGCAGAAGCAGGAGGCCGCTTTGGAAAATGACGTTTTTATTGCTACGTCTGCACTGGCTTTTTAGCACAGTAAGAAAGTCCCCACAGTCCCGCCGCCCTCTGCCAGCCCCAGCCCTCCAGCCTCTGACCGGGTGCGGGGGAAGCCTTTCTCGGGTCACTCAGCTGTCTCGGGACTGGACGTGACACAGACATACGTGGGTTAGAGCTGCTGCACGTAAGACTGGAGGCGTGGGAAGTGCAACTGCCTTAAGCCTCGAGGTGGGAGCTGTGCCCAGGGTCACTTCCTGGAGGCTGTGCCTGTTACCGACATACCAAGGGTTTGGTCTGAGTCCTGCTGCTGGCCGCACAGAAATCCAATGACTGGGATGAAGAGAATTGCCAGGGAAGACAGCTTTAATCGGGTGCTGCAGCCAGGGAGACGAGAGCTCAGTCTCAAATCCATCTCCCTTGACTGACTAAAACTAGGGGTTTATATAGCAGGGAAGAAATGCACCAATGCGTAGGGAAACAGGAAACTCAGGAGGGCCCAGAAAGCAATACTGATGAATGAGGGGGTCCAGCATCTCATTGCCTGGATGTGGTGATCTGCTTTGATACTTTGAGAGGCCTGAAGGTCATTTCTGGAGGAAGGAATTCAGATAAAACAACCGTGAGGTTCACGCTTGAAGACCAGAAGGGTCGGTTTCTATGTTAATCAAAAAGAACAGCCTATGGGTTGTTCTATGAAACCCAAACGACTGAATGGGTTTCATACCCAGCCCAGGGTGCAGGGTGTGAGAAGCCTGAACCGGCCTGGTGAGCAGCCCAGACACCGGGGACAGAGGACTGCAGCCTCTCGCCCCACGGACTTTTCAACAGGGTGTGGGGACAGACACCCAGCTCCTAGGTCCATGCCACCCCCACCCCTGCCCACCTCTCTTGGCACCTTTCCTGTGGCTCTGACCCCCTTCCAGACACAGAGGTAGGCCAGCACCCGGCAGGCCAGCAGACCACAGGGTCACCTCCCAGCTGAGGTCCTCCCAGCAACTGTGGCCCCACAGACAACCTCGAGACTTTGTTCCTAGGGGAGAAAGAGAGGGAGGGAGAGAGGGAAACCCCATGTGGCATGTGGCTGGGAGAGGATGGAGCTATGGGGCCCGCACCAAGGGGTTCTGGATCCCTTCCCTCCCCCAGCCCCGGTGCCGCTGTTTCCTCCCATCCACATGTGCTGGACGTGAGGGAGGGGAGCCCCTGGACGACAAGAGGCCACCCCCGACCCACCCAACCTGCAGCTCCAGCTCCCTTAACAGGTGGGGCGCTGCTGAACACAGAGGCCCAGCCCCAGGGTCTGTCCTGGGCGCTCCCCAAGGACAGGCAGGGCAAGCAGGGTCCAGGACGATGGCCACACAGCCCTGGCCCGAGTCCCCAGGACTGTCTTGCTCAACGACGTGAGGGAGACCGGGGGAGTGGTGGTCGGGACGGGCTGGGCCCCAAGGTGCCTGACTCCCTGCAGGGCTCCCGGGACAGAGGCCTGGTGGACACAGCAAGCTGCTCAGGGGTGAGGGTGTCCAGGCTGGCATCGACGCCACCTTCTGGCGGGGCTCTCTTGGGGTGGGGCGGGCTTGGTGAGAACCAGTCATGTGCTCCCGGGCTCGTCCGGGGTCTCCCAGGGCCGGAAGCAGGAACCCCTGTGCGCAGGCGCCCTGAGGCTCCCGGGCTGCCCATCTCATGCCAGGGGGCGGAACTTCCTGCAACCTCACCCTCTCCGCGTCCTCGTCCTCGTGGGCCCCAACTTTCTCTCTGAGCGTGGCACACCGGCCCAGGGGCCATGCAGGCCGGAGACCAGGCCGCAGGGGGCGCAGCGGGCGATGCTGATGGTCCAGGAGGCCCTGCCGTTCCTGGCGGCCCAGGGGGCGATGCTGGCGGCCCAGGAGAGGCGGGTACCACTGGCGGCAGGGCTCCCCAAGGCTCAGGGGCAGCAAGGGCCTCGGGGCCGGAAGGAGGTGACTCTCAGGGGCCACGTGGCGGCGCGGCTTCTGCCCAGAATGGAAGCTGCCCGTCTGGGGCTAGGGGGTCAGACAGCCACCTGCTTCAGTTGTATCCTGTTCTGTTCTGTTCTGTTCTGTTCTGTTCTGTTCTGTTCTGTTCTAGACAGTGCTGGTGGCAGGATGGGGGCCGGGAGATGGAGAGGCCAGGGCCAGGAGGTGAGGGAGGGGAGGGCCAGGTGCAGGAGGTGGGGTTTGGGAGATTGGGGTAAGGGGCCAGGCGGGGGTGAGGGCTGGGAGATGGAGGTGGGGAGGGGGGCGGCTCGGAGGAAGGGGGCAGGTAGGGAATGGGAGGTGGAGCTTGTGCAGGGTGGGGGAGAGGGGTGCTGGGCGATGGGGAGAGGGGTGCTGGGCGATGGGGTGAGGGGCAGGGGCCCAGAGATAGGGGGGCTTGGGTGTGTGAAGGGGATCAGGAGGTAGGGGGAAGCAGGCAAGGTGGGAGCCAGTGACTGGGGTGTGGGCGGGGTGGGGGAGGCCAATCGAGGGGGAGGGGGCAGCTAATGCGGCACCGGGCACAGTGGGAAGGGCCTCTGAAGGGCACGGAGGAGTCAGCTTGGGGTGCAAGAGAGGAAAAGTGGGGAACCAAGACAGCTGGGCTGGTTGCGGCACCACCTGGGCCAGTGCGTGGGGAGACAGCCTGGGTGGGATGAGATGGGCACTGGGCAAGTCCTACGAGATGGGGCCTTAACCGGGTCCCCACCAGCCACATCACGATGCCTTTCCTGTCGCCCATGGAAGCGGAGCTAGCCCGCAGGATCCTGGCCCGGGATGCCGCACCGCTCCCCCGACCAGGGGAGGTTCGGAAGGATTTCACCGTGTCCGGCAACCTACTGGTTATGTCAGTTCGGGACTAAGACAGGGACAGGGCTGGGCTGACGACGGTGGCGGGGTGGGGACTGGGATCCGCCTCCCCCGAGGGTCAGGAAGCTAGAGACCTGGGAACACCCAAGCACAGGGTCTCAGAACAGAGACCTGGTGCACCAGGCCCACCGCCACCCGAGGGAGCGCGGGGAGATGGGTGCAGAGCTGTCGCCTTTAACGTGATGTTCTTCGCCCCTCGCGTTTAGCCGACTGGCTGCTGCAGATCCGCGCCAACTCCAGGTCTCCATCGGCTCCTGTCTCCAGCAGCTTTCCCTGTTGATGTGGATCATGCAGAGCTTTGTGCCCGTGTTTTTGGCTCTGCTTTCCTCAGGACAGAGGGGCTAAGCCCAGCCTGGCGCCCCTTCCTAGGTCGTGCGTCCTCCCCTGGGGAAGGTCCCTGCACGAGTGGCCACTTCATTGTGGGGGCCTGATTGTTTGTCTGTCGCTGGAGGAGGGTGGTTTACATGTTTGTTTCTGTAGAAAATAAAACTGAGCTCCTATTCCCTGTCTGCGTCTCTTTTCAGCGAGCGAAGGCACCTGCAGATGTTGATGCCTTTGTCCTCAGGTTGCAGGGGAGGCTCTGGGATTCAGAGATTCAAGTAGCACAAGGTAATGGAAGACAATTTGGGAAATAGGGGAACATTAAAAGCGACTGGGTCCCGCCATTCAGCATTAACTACTGTGGACACTTTAGAATATTTTCCTCATCATATACTTGCATTTACGTGTTAACTACATGACAGTAGCATATATAATGGCCTTCCAGCTCAGCATTGAATTTTTTTCCCAAATTGTTTTCATTGAACATGTGAGCTTCTGTGCCTTCCAAAAATTCTTCAAAAACGCATACTTGAATAGATGCACAAAACCAGCATTATCATTTCACCGTTAAGCATGCGATATGGGCCGGGCATGGTGGCCCTCACCTGTATTGTCAACACTCTAGGAGGCTGAGGTGGGAGGATGGCTTGAGACCTGGAGTTGGAGAATGCCCTGAGCAACGTAGTGAGAGTCTGTCTCTGTAAAAAAAAACGTTTGAAAATGAGGGGTGGAAGACGTGGTGGCAGGCACCTGTAGTCCCAGTGACTCGGGAGGCTGACGTGGGAGGATGTGTAGGGTCCAGGATCTCGAGGCTGCAGTGAGCTATGAATGCACCCCTGAGCTCCAGCCTGGGTGACAGAGCGAGACTCTGTCTCTAAAATAATTAGTAATAATAGTAATAATAAGTCATAGTAATAACAACTTAAAATGTGTGTAAACACGTCATGTTACAGGTTCATGCTCTCACCGCTTGTAGAGTCCCAATTAACAAGAGCGAGGTCTGGTATAAAGAAACGGACTTTAGGCCATGATTGGTTTAGGGGAAGATGTACAGGCTCCTGCCTTTAAGGGCTTTGCTTCCCTCTGGGGGCAGAAAGCAGGGCCTTTTAAAGGGGGACTTGGAATGAATACCATACAGCGGAGGGGGCAGGCAGCTGCGGGGTCTCCGTCACATGCTGAGGTGCCTCACCTACCGGGTGGGGTGTCGTGGGCAGAGCTAGGTTGGAAAGGGGCTGTTGTTTGTCAAGGCGAAAGAGACATGTTCTTGAGCTGCGTTCTGATATGCACTTCCGTTGCTTGGAAACAGTGTGATCCCTTTGAGTCTTGCTTTCAGGATTTACTCAGTGGGACCAGAGCAGATTTCAGTGGAAGATTAATAGTATTACCTGACCACATCCAAGGCTCGGCAAGGCTGTAGTTGCAAACGAGGACTCATTATGCTGTCGGTAGGAGAGGTAGTAACATCTATCTGGGCATTTATTTGGCATTTTCTATTAAAGGAACGATATGCATACCCTTCGACCCACCTCGAAGGGTCCATCCGAGGAACTTCTGCATATGCAGATGAGGTAGAATCCACCGGCCTCTTAATGACACCATCACGTAAATAACTTTTAGAATGTAAATGTCCATCAGCGGCGGAAAGGTTGAATAAATCACTGCACAACTGCCCCAGGGGAAAAGTGTGAGGAGGCTGGAGAGAGAGCATGGTAGATAGTTGGGTACTAGCATAGAGAGAGATTAAAACAAGTCACGAGATCTCTGCATCTAGGCTACGGCACACTCTTGTTTTGGCAGTGTGCTCCCGCCACGAGAGCACGCAGGGATGAGCACAGTAACTCCCTGGAAAGCCGCCTCCACTCTCAAGAGTGCTCACCGCTGGACAACAGCGTCAGGGAAATAAAACGTTCACCTTTGAAATCTCAGACTTCCATGTTTAAATATTTTCATCAGGCCTGTATTACTTTGGGGATACATGTTTTTACTTTGGAAAAGAAGAGTCTGTTCAAATAAGAAGTCATCTCTCCTAGTCCTGTTCTTTTAAAACATTGGGAATGGATTTTGTGTGCGTTGAAACATCTGTGTCACGGCAGAGGGCATCTGTTGGTTTTGTCCCCCAACCTCTGTTCCCCTGTACCCGTGTCCATATTTCCCCTAGAACCACTCCCTCCATTTCCCTTCAGCAATTCTGATTCTGCTGGAGTCTACTTCGCCCCAGATTTCAGGGGTGGGCATGACGCTCAGGCCTGGTTAAGTGGAGCACTGCATTCCTCTGGCCATGGTGATCCCAGCCAAACCAGTGACACTTTTGGGGCTGCAGGGGGATAAGCTGGCAATGGACAGCGGAGAAGCAGGAACAGGAAGGCTGATCTGAGAGAACCAAATCCTGGATCCAGCCGTGCCTGAAGCTGGGAACTGCCCTTGGACCTTTCCGTTACACAGACTCAGAAGTTCTCCCTTCGGCTTAAGTCAATTGGGAGATTTTTGATTGTTTTTCTTTCATTTTTTTTCCATGTGCAATGGAAAAGTCTTGACTATCATGGAATTGGGGAACCACAGATTTATTTCTTATGTAACCTTCTACTGTGATCTGAGGCCTAGGCCCTCGTTTGCTTCCTGGAAGGAAGAGACATGTTTTCTTGCTAGGGGATCGATATGGTTCGGATATGTTTGTCCCCTGCAAATGTGGTCCTCAGTGTTGGAGGTGGGGCCTAATGGGAGGTGATTGGGTCATGGCCGGGGGTGGGGGGATGCCTTTCAAACAGCTCAGTAAAGCCATCCTCAGGGTAATGAGTGAGTTGTCACTCTCTGGGTTCCCACAAAATCTGATGGTTGAGAAGATCCTGGCATCTCCCTCCTCCCCTTCCTCCTCCTCCTCCTCCCCTTCCTCCTCCTCCTCCTCCCCTTCCTCCTCCCCT